ATATGTTTACTGAGTTTGCAAATTAATTCCATGTATCTGCTATAATTTTTTTGTATAAATATATTTTTCTTTTCTTTTTTTGTTTTTGGAAGCTTTCAGCAGATAGAAATTAGTATGCCATATTGTGTTTAATATATGGAGGGCTCCACAGCAAAAGGTGGTGATGGGCCAAAAAATTTTTTTCTGTAGTTTTTTAATATTGTGTTCTAAATGATCTAATTTTTGCAAAAATAAAGGTTTGCAAAAAAATTTTTTTTTGGCCCATCACCACCTTTTGCTATGGAGGCCCCCATATGATAATTACTGTTTGTAACATAAATAGCATTAATTATTATTAGTAGATTGAAGCCTAGAAGTATATCTGAAAAATCCAAAAATTATTTATTTGGCTAGTTGAATTAGAACCATGCCAAGTAGATGTTTGTATGTTATAAAAATCTAATAAGCTAGTTAGGTTGGCAGCATTTAGATCAGTAAAAATTGAAAGTTGTTTGTTTCTGTACTGATTTGCATTAAAGTTACTCAAGATAATCAAATGCCAGTTTCAAGATCTGGCCTCTGTGACCCAGGAATGAATTTAGGATTGTGTCTGTCTTTAAAAATGAAAAATGATTTGAAGAAGATATGCTGAAATAATGTGAAACTTGTTGTTATTTGAAAAAAAGAAGTTGATGCAAATTGTAGTACCAGGTAGAATATTAATATTATGAATATAGGGCTGTAGTTGATTGCAAACTAATAAAGCTGTTTCTAAACTAGTCTCTCTTTAATTCAGATTAAATAGTGAAAAGTTAGATGTATATATCTTATAAAAGAAATTGGTGTAAGATTTTGCTGCTGAGTCTTTTAGTTTAGTTTTAGTTATAAAGATTATATATAGATTTGATTCTACACAATGTTTGATTCAGTTTTGCATTTTTAGTGTATTGTTGATGCCTCTAATGTTGTGTGTGGTTATGTTGATTTTTTCATTTAAATTTAGTTTAATTTTTTTTTTATTCTCATTATTTGCTAAAGACAGATTATTTATATAATAGCTTGTGCTTATTAGTAATTCATATTGTTATCTCCTTTCCTGTCTAACATTTGTGTATATATAGTTGTTATTTGTTTTGGTGAGTCAAAAATTTCAAAAGACAGTTCAGATAAGTTTATAAGGTCAAAAATGTATTCTAATAAGGAGTGATAGGCAAAGTTTTGTCTAAGAGTTTTTATAACTAATTAAATATTATAATACTTCAATACTGAAATGTGTATATTTGTAATTTTTTTTGTTTAAGAGCCAAACAGAGTTGTTCTACTGTTGATGATAGTTTGGACAAGACTGATCTAGTCTCTAGTTGTTTTTCTTTTCTTTCTATTTGAATCCAAGACTGAGGTATGGCATAAAAATAATAGTATTTTCATAGTGCTTTAACTGCTATGCTTAGCTCTTTAGAGGTTGATATCAGTAAAGTTAAGTTGACCAAAGTAACTAAATTGGCATCTTCAGGCAGATCTGAATGATCTGTGTAATTGAAATTGCAATAGGTTTGTGGCAATAGTGATGGAATATTGTAAATTTGTGGAACACACTTGATAAAAGCATTCACTTCTTCTGTGCTCTGTAAAGGAAATGTAAAATTAAATATTTTTAAATTTGTTAAATCTAAAGATAGTCATCTTCGAGAGATAATATAGTCATTAGATAGTCTGATAAAGGAATAGTCCATGCATAGTAATCTGATATGTTCCTTAAAATCATCTTGACTTTCAGATAGAAAAGGAAATCTCTCTCTTAATCTGAGTGTTAGGCCTTATGAAGTGGAAGGCAAAAAGCATTTTGGTACTGATAAATCAAAGTATTTAACTGGAATTTGCTGAAAACTATAATATTTTTGTAAGGTCCCTCTATAGTAAGCTAGCTTTTTCAGCTTGGCTCTGTTTACAATAGGAAAGAGGTGTTGTACTTCATTTCTTAAGTCTTTATATGAAGCTGATAAATTTTCATGATTGTCTGTGATATATTTGTCTGATAGCTTATTGAAGGGGAATATTAAATGCAGTGTTCTAACTGCTGGTATAAGAATTCAGTAGCTTGTGATAGGTAAGTTAAAGGAAATAGCTTAAGACAAATAATCTGAAATGAGCTCTGAACTGTTAGGTAAGAGAATTAGCATTTCATTCATTAGTTCTAAGACAGCCTTTCTTGTTGCTTCAAAGTCTAGATTCTGTTGAATTTTTGCAAAACCAATTAAGTAGAAAATATATTTTGTAATTTTCCAAACATCTAAGAGGTTAAAGTTTAGGTTGGTTAAGTAATCTAGTACTAGTTTTGTATACAACAATTTGAAAATTTGGTTCTGATTTTTTTTATTGATAGCTAATATGTCATGCTGTTTTTTATATGCATCTAATGCATTAGAGAATAAGCTGTTGAATTCATTCTGGTGTTGTGATCTAATTGCTAAAACTCAAGTGAAGCTTTTAAAGAAGGCTGTGTCTTTGTGAAAGAATTTGCTTTTATTGTTGTTGGAATATGAATAGTAATAGGTTTTGTTGATAACTTGTATCTAATTAGTTCTTTCAAGTTTTGAAGTGAAATTAGTGCATTCTTGGTTTTTTATCACATCCAAATTGTTGCATCAAATGATTCTAGTTTTTCTTATCTAATTTTTTCTAAAGCTGCCTGTGTATATTTTTTCTATTCATTTTCTTTATTGGCTTTAAAATAAGAGTTTAGAGTTCTTCTAGTTCTTTTTATAAGGTTTTTAACTAGTGCTTGGCTGTATAATATTTTTTTTTGTAGCTGTTCTTCAAGTATTGTATCAGTTGATTGGGTTTTTCATTGTTGTCATCCTTTATGTTTGTTGATATGTGCTCTACTTTCATATTGGGTTGTTGTTCTAGTGTGCTGACATCTAAGTTAGACTGAGGCATTTGGTTGGATAGAGCTGAGTTGTTTGTTTTTTCTATCTGCATTGACAAAAGAGGAGCAGCATTTATATTGTTTGGGTTTTGGATCAGGTCTTGCTTATTTTGGTTGTCTATAAGAAGATTTGAGATTGTGGTTGTTGTTATTGTATGTAGTGATATCATTGTTAAATTTTTTGGATGTATGCTAAAATCTCTATTTTTTTAATTTTTTTCATTAGTATTTTTTCTATTGCTTGCTTGTATAGAAATAGCAATTTTGCTATCAGTTTTGCACTTCTTCTTGTTGTTCTGTTTATCTATAGTTTTTTGAATGAATTATATTTGTGTGTACTGTTTGGAATATTTGTCTTGGAACTTATTATTATCTTTACTAATATTGGTTTCAGTTGCTAACTTAGTTAGCAACAATGGTGAAAAGAAGACTGGAGTGCAAAAAGTTTTCTTATAGCTTTATTTAATTCTGTTAAAGTTTATACTATACTGTTTATTAATGCTAGTATTTAGTTAATTAGTTAAAATATGTTTCAGTTCAACTTTTTTAAAAAAATTTTTTGTTTTTACAATTTTGCTATAAAATTGGGATTTTCAGGAAAGAGTTTTGATGTTTGATAGTAGATCTGATTTTTATTGTATTTTACTATATTATTAATAATTAAAATATAATTAAATAAATCAAATTTTAAAATTTTCTATATATGTAATATAATAAAAATAATAAAAAAATTTAAATAAATATATACAAAAATTAACAAAAATAAAATATTATATAAATTTGTAAAATTAGAAAAAATGAAACCTACTTGAAAAAATTCAAATAGAAAAATAATATGAATTTTTGATAGTATTATTGTAAAAGCTAGATCTAGAAAACAAATATCAATATAAAGGAATTAGATATACAAGAACTTTAGATAAGAGGTACTTTAAACAAGACTATTGAGTTAAACTAAAAGAAAAGAATATTAGGCCAAACTCAATATACAGTTTACAATTCTTTTGAACTATCTGAATTGAAAATTTAAAGACAAAGCAGAGATATATTAAATACTAAAAATATGCTGTAAAGTAGATACTAGAGTACAGATGAACTCTACAAGAGCAAGCTTTTGTTAATAGTCTATAGAGTAAGTTGATAGTTAATATATAAGACTTTCTGAGTCTTATTGGCAGATGTTGTACTCTGAAATATGTAATAGTCTGAATACCAGTTCAAAAAGAGAAGATACTGTACTGTTTAGATGGTATACTAATTAAGTATATACAGAAAATTGGTGATATTTAAAAGCAGATAATCAGAAGGTTTAAATAAATAATCTTCTAATAAATCATAGATACAACATCTAGTGTGAAACTCTAGGGTTGACTAATTAAATAGCCAACCAAAAGTTGAATGTGTGACTAACTGTACTCTCATCTTGTAAAAATTGTTGTAATACTAATCTCAACATATGTTAATACAATAACCACCATGAAGTATGACCTTTAAACATAAAAAATAAAAAATTTAAAAAATAAAATATAAGTACTTTTAATTTAGCAGATCTTTATTATCAGATTGATAACGAACTTGCATCTGATATAAATTCTTGATCTAATAAAACTTCTGAAGAGATATATAACATAACTTTATAAATATAACTTCTAAATTATTTCTTTTTCTGAACTACTTAAATTTTCAATATGTTAAAATTCCACAAAATGTTAATCTGTTTATATTTTGAGTCTATCTTAAGTAATTTCATGAGACTATAGATTTATATAAATATATTAGTTTCTACATACATTTAATAAATTGTACAAATAATGACTACACAAAATTTTTTATATTTATTATTAATGTTCGCAACGAGGTGCAAGCTAAGTCCTTCAATTCTTTTAACACTGTCTAGTCTATCAAATGTAATGCAATCGCTAATAACTTTTTCTATTCTTGGATTGTAACTATACTTCATGTTCGTTATAATGCATATTTTTCATAATTAACATATCGATACCTTTATTCAATTCTTAAATTTAATGAAATCTTATTTTGCACTTACTCAACATTTTCATATAATACCATTCTGATGTCGATATAGAAAGAGATGCTTGTTCTACTGACATCTGGATATATTGACAAAATTATTATTGCTAGAGTGTCGAGTAACGTGTATTAACATTAGTATAGTATACCAAGAATAAAGTACGACTAGCGAGTGATATGGAGTGTGTGTTTCTCAGCAATGATTGGGTGATCTGTCACTATGACCTTGTATAGCACCACGAATAATAGTTTAAAGGTAGGTTCAAGGAACGAATGCCTCTGTACGCAAAATCTTGGAATTAATTGGTCCGCGTGACTTATTCATCATTCAATATTTATTTTTCATATATCTGCATGGGGATCCCTAATTTCTCCCCACGGACAGTTGTAAATGCCGTCTCTAATTGGACAATGTAGACTACGCCATCTTTCGTCTACCAATCAAATAAGAATAGGTGTAACATAAACTTTTCAAAAAAAATCGAAGTTTTTCAAAAATCGCTGGTAACTTAAAATTTTAGTTACAAAATCACCTTTTGTGTTCTAACAAAAAAATTACTTGAAAGATTTTAGTATAGTATTTATTCGATCAGACCTTTGTACTGTTTTAACGACATTTCTATTATTTGATCGAAAAGCATGTTTTTTTTTGTCCAACATGAACTATGGGGGAAATTAGTAAACCCATCCGCATGACTAACGTTATTTCCATTATTGTGAAAATAAATCCCTCTGCATCACTAACCACATTGAATAACAAATAATGATGCAGGGGAATTATTTCCACAATAGTGGAAATAGCTTTTTTTTTTAATTCCACAACGATGTGGAATTGATCATTAACAAATTTAGTAATTCCAAAATTTATCATTTTTGACGTCCAATAAATTATTGCATCAAAATGTAACTTCTGCCTAGATTGTGGAATCACTAATATTGTTAGTGATCAATTCCACAACGCTGTGGAATTGTGACAAAGATTACTTACGTATATATATAAAAAATTTAAATTGCCCGCACAATGTTTAATAATATATTTGTTTCTTACAATTACATTTCTTATTATTAGTCATTATTTGAAATAATCTGTCGTTAATTTTGATTTCAAATTTTCAGCAATGGACACTTCTTTGTCGGGAGAATGGAAATCCTACGTGAGTGATGCAATTAATTTGTTATTTTATTATGAAGCTTGAACTCATCATTACATTTCGTTTAGTTTGATGCGTATGGAAAAGTCTATTGTAAGTATGGTATTGTAATGTGTATTAACTATTTTAATTTTTTTTTGTAAATCTTTTATAAACCAAAATTTTTTTATAAGATTATAATACAAGAACTGGTATATCTCAATGGGTAATTTTTTATTTTTTATTTTGCTTTTATCAGGTATATTGTGCTTGTATTTAATAACTTTATATTTATATTAGAATCCTCCTTACCCAATGCAGTTATCCACTCAAATGTCTAATCCAAATGCCAATGTTTTATACCAAACTACTTGCTCAATGCTAATTCCTCAAAATCATAATCAAAATACTAATATATCACAACAGCAAGTGAATTCTTCTTACACAATGCCGATCCCTCAAAATTATATTCAAAATGATTATAAGTCACAACAACAAAACTTCTATCAAAATTATAATCACAATACCAATATGTTACAACAGCAAACCATTTCTCAAAATCATAATCAAAATACTAATATATCACAACAGCAAGAAAATTCTCCTTACACAATGCCAATCCCCCAAAATTATATTCAAAATGATTATAAGCCACAACAACAAAACTTTTCTCAAAATTATAATCACAATGCTAATATGTTACAACAGCAAAACTTCTCTCAAAATCATAATCAAGATGCTAATTTATCACAACAGCAAGAAAATTCTTCTTATACAATGCCATTCTCTCAAAATTATAACGCTAATACGTCACAACAGCAAAACGTCCCTCAAAATAATTATCAAAATGCTATTAAACAACAGCAAGACGTCCCTCAAGCTAATTATCAAAATGCTATTAAGCAACAGCAAAACATCCCCCAAAATCATTATCAAAATGCTATTAAACAACAGCAAAACGTCCCTCAAAATTATAATCACAATGCTAATACGTCACAACAGCAAAATGACCCTCAAAATAATTATCAATATGCTATTAAACAACAGCAAAACGACCCTCAAAATAATTATCAAAATGCTATTAAACAACAGCAAAACGACCCTCAA